GCAGCAGGAGCAACTTTACAACTCTCCATGGGCTTCTCCCTTGACTTTATGCCTCCACGCCCCCCCCGATTGCCCGCAAGCTTCTCCTCCTGTCTATACGGTAATTTCTGTACTGTGCAACAGAGAGTCGCGTGTTATGATGCAATCGTTAGCCTATTTTTACAAAAACTGCTTCTACGGGGCCATAACGTAAGATACAAAGTAATGGAGCCTTTTATACATTGTCGTGTTTCTTTAGAAATAAATAATGGACAAATGCACTCTTTAAACGACTCAGATGTAAAGTTATTCGCTGTCAAAGTGACGCCAAAATGAATGGGAGTCAATGGAATGCTAACAGCAGGTGAAGGCTTGTTAGCCAATGGCGGCCCCCAGGGAGACTTCAGTTTCCGGCTGGTGGATAACCCCCTTGCACGGTACGGATCCACTTTTGCGACACGACTGTCGCGTGGTGTCGCGACGCCTTCCCACATTTGTACGTTCGTTCGTTGATGGGCGTTCCTCAAGTTTACCGCTATGGGCGTGGTTTTTGTAGTAGGACATCTAGAATAAATGGGACCCGCGAGAGACTTCCCCAGCCTCTACTTCTATTGGATGGACCCGTCGCGTTCAACGGATTCATTTGCATAAAGATGGGCATCGGCCAACTTTTTTGACGCGCAGCATTTTTCCAAATGCAGCGCCGCCTTCCCAGGATGCTTTGCGGGTGCGTTAAAGTCACTTGACGTCACCCATAGGAATAAAGTGGAGTGCGTGTGACAGAAGTGTTGCACGGACAAATGGATCCGCACCATCAGAATCTTGGACTGAAGCAGAGCGCAGCCGACAAAGACTCTGAGATACGTAACACGGCAGCGCATGCAGTGTCTTGTTTCCTCCTTTCAGGGAACCGAGTTTACGCTAGGTAACCGGAGACGTTCCCTTTCTAGTCGGTCTCTCGACACTGCGTCACCGTCAGGTGGCGTTACGGGGACCTATAAAATTCCACCGTGTTGGAAGGTCCAGATCGGCAGCAAGCCAAGCAGTTGACCTAGCTAAAAGAACTCATGAGCACAGCAGCCATAGCGACAACAACTGTGAGCAAACGCGGTTAGATCAGAATAGCCAGTTGCACTGAAGGATACTGGGCAACATAACAGCAGTAATCATATATCAGTATGTACATGAGCACAGCGTCAGCAGGCGTAGTGGCAACAACTGTGAGCCCACGTAGTCAATACTAAGACTAGGAGATAAGTGAGGTTAATCACCCGCGAGATTTCATAAGGCTTCAGTAGATTCGGAGAAGGAGGGATAACCCCGTAGCGCCACCTAACAGTGATGCAGTGTCGAGAGACCGACTCGTAAGGGAACTAAACCTATACATATAGGAAAGAAAACTAAACAAAACACTGAAGTAAATAACTTAAGCAAAACAAGTCCACGGCAGGAGAAAGCTAGGTATTAGATAAGTGAAAACCCAGGCTAAATAATAAAATCAAAGAGAAAACCAAAGTAACAGTAACCAAATCTATTAATCTGAAAGACAAAACCAAAGAAAAAACTACAATAGTTAAAGTAAAACAAGACAACTAAAGAAAGCTAAATAAAAAAAGAGAAGTTAGACTAATGATTCTGAGCAGAACCATAAAATATGAACATATCACCAGTCCTCAGGTCTTTACATTGGCTCACAGTTACATTTAGGGTTGATTATTATTAGGATTGATTACTAGGATTGAGTATTATTACTGGTATATAAATCATTCAATGGCATAGGACCTCAATACATTGCAGATATGCTCACTGAATATAAACCCAACAGAGCACTCAGATCATTAGGATCACATCAGCTAGAAATACCAAGGGTTCACTCTAAGCATGGAGAGTCTGCTTTTAGCTATTGTAGCAAATTAGCTCTATGAAATATTAATAATCAATCATAACTTGTTATAATTGATTATGAATATTTGGATCAGTTAATCGAGTTAACTTGACGTAGCTACATTAACATTACAACCAATTACTCGGTTCATCCCGTGAACACTCAATATTGGTTATTAATTAATTAATAGAAATGTACATTTCCGGGGCATGGGAAATGTCTTTCTTAATAAGTACTACTAAGAGCAAGTAGTCAAGATCTATGATTAGTGACTCCGGATATGAGCTTGAGACAAGGACAACTTTACGTGTGATATGAACAAGACTTTATTAACTAGACTAAACATTTAAACTACTCTAACATACACATACATACATGCATACAGTTTACCAAGGGAAAGAGAGCTGAAGCAGAATACAGGAAAGCAAGAAGTTATAGCGTTGTTTGAGATCAACAGCCTTGAGCAAACCATCAGATTAGTTTTAACACGCCCTTCTTTAAAAGGGGTAAGGATACTTAATGTATCAAATAATGAGACTAAGTTTGATACTTGCATACTTGAATTAAACTGTCCTGATGCAATTTGTTGAAGCTCCAGTTGATCTTTGCTGATGTGGTCCTGATGAGAGAGAACCAGGGAGTCAGAGGATCTTTAGTGAATGGAAAGACAAGGCCACAGCCTGGCGCAAGCTTGGGAGTCCTTGAGGGACTTCTAGTTCAGCATCATTTTCACGTTAGGACTTCTTAAGAAGGACCAAGAGAGTCAGAGAGCAAGAGGCCGAGAGGACAAGCGAAGAGAGCTAATCTTGATGATCAGTGATTTTTAAAGTGTGAAGATGTCACACCCTCTGGAGGTGCGTGAGCCAATGCGAAGCTGCCCCTTTGGAGGGAGTTTTTACGACGATGGGGTGTTTTTACGAAAAGAATCTACAAGATTCTTATAATACTCATGCGTCATAAAGTTAGCAAAATGTAATGTAAATTAACAAATGGGGGACGAAGATTGGAGTTTATAGAGACTAAACATGCTACACATATGATTTTGTGTTAACCATTGTATGCAAGTCATGTCTCAGACCGAAATAGTTTAGAAGAGAGAATGAAGACATAGGCCAAACCACATAAAAGGAAAATCATGAGATGGACAATTAGATACATGTTAATACATTTATCACATGGTTATATATATAGAATATATAGGATTAAAAGGGTTCATTTCTCCTTCTCAGCAATAATTAAGTCACAATTCCCTGCACATTCCTTAGGGTTGTAAAAGCTTGTTATCAGTCTTAATGTGTCCTGTAACAGGACACCAAGTTCTGCCAGTGTGTTAGCTTGGTTTGGGGGAAGTTCCACAGACCTTTGTTGGGAGAGTGCGTTTGCTGGATTATTCATTAAATATAATGAATAATTTGTGTGTGTCTGATTGGTCCAGACGCTACACTATTATGCCAGCCGCAGCTGGAACCAGCTTCCAGAGGAGATCAGATGTGCTCCTACAGTAGTCACATTCAAATCCAGACTCAAAACACATTTGTTTAGCTATGCATTTACTGAATGAGCACTGTGCCACTGTTCGTCCGACTGTTTGCACTGTATTTTATTTTATTCTAAACTGTTTTAATTATTCTTATTTCTTTTGATTATTTTAATTTATTCTATGTAAAGCACTTTGAATAACCATTGTGTATGAAATGTGCTATTTAAATAAACTTGCCTTGCCTTGCCTAATGCCGAGTTCACACTGCACGATTTTAGCCCCGATTTTCACTCGCCAACAGGTTTTGAGAGATCGCCGACAAATGTCCAAAATCATAGGCAAATCGGTGCTTGTTCACGCAAGTGACGATCACGGAGTGTGAATTATCAAAGACGCAATATGAGAGAATTGCCGACGGGCCGCCGACACCCGTGAGATATTTGGCATGCTAAATATCTGAACCTGTCGCCGATTCAAAATCGTGCTGTGTGAAATGTGTTCTGACTGACAATTACATTGGCGAAGCCAGTGAGAGAGCAAGAAACAGGGCAGCGGGAAGTTCAGGGAGGAGATAAAGACCAGAATATCATTATTTTAATAGATATATTTGTAAGGCCTGGCTCGATCGGCCCAATGGAGGCATCCGATCAGCGGGGAAGGTTTCTGCGTGTTACTTTCCGCGTGGCAAAGTAATTTTGATTTAATCAAATACATTTCTCATATGTATTTTCTCGTTATTTCATCTGACTCCATAAATGAAAAGGTTTTTTGATATTCGTGCATCATTAAATGTGTGTTTGACTATTCTTTTTAAACTCTTGAATGAAAATAATGTCAAAGTCAATTAGAATAATCAAATGTAAGAATTTATTATGTCAGGTAAATGTATCATGCCAATTTCATAATCAGTTCAAATATAATCAATACAATAACATCAAATGCTCTGGAATAAAGAGAAGAGATGCAAACACGCCTTTAGGAAATACATGAAGCTGAGAGTCCCGGCGGCTCTTAAGATTCACGGGCTGATCTGAGATACAAAAGGCCCCGATCCTTTTGCTGCATTTTATTATATAGACAGAACCTCTTTCACATGGAAACATGTGTTAACAATGGTAATTTGCATTCAGTGTTTACACCCTTTGAGAACAGAAGGATTTAACCATCCCACCCTCCTTTGTGTGCATGTTATCTCTAAATTCTTAAAAACCTTATTACCTTTTGGTTTACTTCTTTGGGAATGAGAGGGCGTGGTAAGGGGAAACTAAGAGGCAAGACAAGGGGAGCACATGGCCAACATAAACAAAGACAAAGCCATGTGCTCAAGCCCAAAACAAACATGGAAACATTAAACAAAGACAGAGCCCTGACAGTACCCTCCCCCCAACGGACGCCTCCTGGCATCCAATCTAGATAAGAGAGTCCAGGGGGGGCACTGACACAGCAGGGGACCAAGGGGGTACCAACTGGGAGGGCAGGGGAATTGTTAGATTTGAGGGTCCAGTTGCCAGAAAACACAGAGGACGGGATAGGAAGGGTGGGGATAGGTCCAGGGGCGTATCCCAGCCTGGCGGAGACAACTGTAGTTGGCGTGGTGGAAAAGCCATGAATGCCTGGTCGTGCTGAAGGTGGGGCTACTGGTATCAGAGTGGTGCATTATCCACCGGTGCCAGCCAGTGGGATAGATGAGGGACCAAACTTGGATGTCGGCAGGGCACCACCTCTGGCTTGAGAAACATAACCAACATGAGTAACTCTTGGGCTGGGGGCTAGCTCAGGAACTAACTTTTGACTAGAGAAGGACTTGAATTCAGGAGCCATGACCGCACTGGCAGGGAAGGTGAATGTCTCAGGAACAGACATTGGAATACCCTCGGGGGCTACAAAGGTAGGCTTGGGAGGACCCTCCAGGGCTACTGGACTGGACTCTGGAAGGCCCATGGGAGCTGCATAATTAAATTCAGAAGCGTCCTCATGGGCTGATGGAACAAACTCAGGGACTGACTCTGGAACATATTTGTGGGCTAAAGAATTAAATTCAGGAATGCCCTTTGGGGCCGCAGGAACAGACTCAGAAATGCCTTGTGGGGCTAATAGAGTAGGCTATGTTGACTTGACTTCACTGGCAGGGAAAATGGTTCAGAAGATTTGAAGACTAAAGTTACACTGGGAACAGCCTCTGTTGCCGTATCAAGACCAACAATCATTGATGATTCTGGTGGCTCTGTGGGGCTGAAGCGGGCTCTGGCTGTTCTGTGGCTGGACAGGACTCCATGGCAATAACAGCAGGCTGCTCGGGAATGACCTCCATGGACATTACAGGGAGAGAGGGCTTTTCTGGGACGACCTCTGTGGGCATGACATGACTGGCAAGAATGACCTTTGTTGGCCCTGACAAGTAGTGCAGACGACTCTGGGATGGCCTCTGTGTCTATGACAGGTAGATTTAATGGCCCTGGGATGATCATCTGGGCCACACCAAAGGGTGCGAGACACTCTAGAGTGGCTTCTGTGGACATGATAGGAAGAGTGAGTGCCTCAGGAATGTCCTGTGACAGACAGAATGGGCGGCTCAGGACTGGCACTCTTGTCCATGACAGAAGAAATTGGCTGCTCTGGGACAGCCACGGTGTTCATGACAGGATTTATGCTGCTCTAGGAGAACAGAGAGAACCTTCCTCCTCCTCCGTTTGCAATGTGGAGACAACAATGAAGACTGGTCTCTGGGGGTATTGTAACAGATTCAGGCATCTCTGGGGGTGCTGCAGTAGACTCAAGACTCTGTGGCCCTTGCAGAAAAAATGGTGGGCTCTGGGGCTTGAGCGGGCTCCTGAGCCAACACTGCACTTTCTTTTTCTGAGATGGACTCTGGACGAACAGTGGACAGTAAAACAGCTCTTCCTCCGCTTCCGAGGTAGAGACAATGTAAACAAAAACAGATCGCTGACAGGTGTGGTTAAAATCAGTCACAGCCAATGGACTAAAACATACACTGTTTCGGTAGTGACATGAAAATGCAGGACACATTTTTTTACATAAAGTTTCATGATTTACAAATAAATGTATTCTTTGAACTTCAAAAATCAAAAAAGATATTTTTAAAAACAACAGTGGAAAAAATTGCACAAATTATTTCAATATAATTTTCTCAAGTTGAAATTTAGGGGTTAGGTTTAGGGACAGCCACCTCCCAATTGAAAGTACCCAATAAATTATGATTTTATATATATTAAGCTTACTGATATTTTAAATATTAATGTCGGTTTCAATAGATAATAGAAGGATGTTTATAAACATCTATGATTTGAATAGTTAAATGCTTTTTAAATATGTTTTTTTTTTTGGTTGTGGGACAGCAGTTTGCACCAATTCTGTAGAATGGCCCATAAATTAATATTTTGCATTAGCTGTGCCCAAAAGTTTAGGCAGCTGCCTTGCTACCCTATCAGACAATTACTTTGCAGGTAGTGTTTGCGTACAAAGAAAGCTGATTTCAGACAGGGTTTTAAGGTAACTATCTAATGATCTACAACAAAATAGAGAGAGCTTTTTTCAGATAACTAAGCAATTTTTTTATTTCTACAATACTAATTTCTCATTAGAAATGAAATGTTAAAAAACATATACACACAAATTGATCACCATCCGCAACTTCTAGATGCCATTTTATTTTTTAGCTCTACTGTCACGGAATCGAACACACAGGATTGTGGGATATCAAAGGCAGTGAAGGATACATCTATGCTGCCTTCCGAAATCCAGGAGATGAAGGTATCTCAGAAGACAGGATGTGATACAATTCGGATGTGCCTTGATGCCTTCCTTTTTTACTTTAACCTCAGCTTTCGCCCTATGTCAACTGGCTCAACTGGCTCATAATCATGAGCAAAACGATTGTCACCTCACTTTCTGATGTTCCTAGTCAACACTCGTTACAGGACCGGACTCAGGTTTATGCTAGTTCAGGTATTTCTCAAGTCCATGTTATGCCACTTTTATTTTCCCCTTCGTTCGCTTCAACATTTGGTCTAGCCTTCCTCCATCTAACACAGCGTTGGCAGAGCACTATCACCATGCCGGCTACCCAAACCAGTACAGTGCCTACTCCAAAGATGACAAAACCAATGGCCACAAAGAACAGGTAGTCCTGGTGACCCAGTCCTGGATGGCAATGTCTTCTCACCCACAGGCCCAACTCGGAGAGATGCTGCCCCCGTAAGAATGAAGGACCTTCACACACTGTCTGTCCCTCTTCTAGTCACATAAAACACAAGAAAAAAAAATTCCATTAACTCCATAAACATTTGTATTGCTGGTATATATTTAGCAACTTAATAAACATGACAGTCTAACATGATAACCACAGACACAAAATTGCAAAAAAAAAAGAGTTTGTCACAAGTAAAACACATGATGTAGTCAGCCGGATCCGGGCCGGATCCAGATGGAGGACCTGCGCCCAGACACGACCACAACGCATGATGTAGTCAGCCCGATCCGGGCCGTATCCAGATCAGATGGAGGACCTACACTTAGACACGACCACAACACATGATGTAGTCAGCCGGATCCGGGCCGCATCCAGATCAGATGATGGGTCTGCACCTAGACACGACCACAACGCATGATGTAGTCAGCCGGATCCGGGATACATCAGCCAGCCGTGATACATCTCTTCTCTGATGGCGTTTACTGGTGCGAGGGTGGGATAACCTGTCACTCATGGTAGATTGACCAATAGCAAACCACTGCTTCCAGTATTTTCCTGATAATTTACAGGACAATCTTAATGTGCAGGAATTGATGTAGGAGAGGATCAGAGCTCACCTGGGGTGCTTCTCATTTCTAATTTGTGCATCCTCGTTTCTTTTCCTCAACTCTCACCCCCACCACCCGTAGGATTTGAGTGAAGGAGGCAATAAAAGAAAATGCGGATGGAGGAATCGAAAGAAAGCTTATTTGTATCCTACTAATAACCTTGATCACTTGAGCATCACTTCAAAGCGCTCATCAGCTGCGCTCAAGGGATCTGCCCTTATGGTTTTAAGTTGGTTATTTAAGAAACATAAATTAAATTATTGTGACAGATGTGAAGGGGGAAGATAATTATTAAGCTATTATTAAGTACGTCAGGTTTTTCGACAATAAAGACTTCCGCATAGGATACACCTGTGCATCCTCGCTCATATCTCCTCAGGAATCTTCCTCACTCCTCCTTCTTTGCTTCCTTGTGGTGCAATTATAGAATTAAGATGTTCTTCAAGATGGCTAACTTTGATCGATTTCCTGGTCACAGGGTAGAGAACAGAGGAGCGAGGAAACGAGGAAGCATCTATTTGAGTATTGAGAAGCACCATTTGACCATAGCAGCGTTCACTGTTCCCTTCTCCCTAAATTGTTATATTTGAAAGCACTAAACTGAGTGATAAATGTCTGCTGCGATGTTTAATGGTTGGGCACAGGTTTGGTGGTATGGGTAGGTTTAAGGTTAGGTTAAAAGATAAGGGATGAGTCAATAGTGTAATTACATGCAGGTATTTTAAAATACAAGTCAGTTCCATGCACTATACATGAGATTTAATGTCTACCGTTAAGGTTAATTCACGAGTAGCTCTGGAAATGAGCATTGCTGATTGAGGTGTAAATTAAAACAGTGCCTTTTGGCATCCTTTCATACATGGATATTATGTCACCGTACACACTAACTGACACACTGAATAATTCAAACCCATGGTTGGCCTCTGCTCTGGCTGAGTCATTTACTCTTTGTACTTATGCTTTTGTAAGGAGACACGTCTTCTTCTGCTCCAATTCTCTCTTTATTTTACCTTCATTATACCTTTACTGTAAAATTATAGTGATTTCACTCCTTAACAAACACCACTAATAAATGAGGAATTTGAGGAAAGAAATGCACAAGGAATATAATGTACCTCGTTACAGTAATCTCACCATTTTCCACTGTCTCCATCCTTGCAATGACTTTCTCCCTAGTTATGGTGACCGAATACCCACAACCCATCTGACGTGCAGTACTTGTATGGTCTGTCTCTTCCTTTGTCTTTCTCTCATCCAATACCCTTTGTACTTGCGCCATATTTTCTTATTCTCACTCTTTGAATATGTCTTCAAAGCTTTTCACTTTCATTGATATAAATATTCAAATAGTTGATACGTTATTTAACGAGTCCTTTAAGATAAACAGCTCAATGTTGACTCTATAGCCAATGTGCATTGACAGCTGTATAGATGTATAATAATGCTACCTATGCCTGATAGGCGCACCCCACGCTTTGAGAACAACTAAGTTTATGTTACAATGGCCCCTCCGAATAAGCCCCTACAAAGCCAGTAAAAGGTAAAAAATAGGCCAGCATATATGGGGCTAGAGAAGCTTACAGCAGAGGGAGAGACTTTGTTTGTGTTTGATCTTGCATTCCTATGTGAATAGTTGCATGTTCATTTGTAGAGAAAAATAATTAGCAGCACTTGAGGGAATACATCTGTGCCAATTAAAAGCAGGAGATGTCTCGGTATTATTCCTCACACTATGTGTGTTTGTGTATGTCTGAGTGTTCAGTGTGGCTTCGTACACTAGAGGCCCTTGGCCTAAACATAACTGGTTATAACTGGACTCTATGAACATTCCAAAAAGATGAACTTAAGATGAGCTTAAACAATGATCTGCAGATAAAGTATAGAATGTATGTATATACACTGCATATACTATATATATATATATATATATATATATATATATATATATATATATATATATATATATATATATATATATGTATGTCTAAATATATATGTCTATCTCTATGTCTCTATCTAGTCATCCATCCATCCTCTAAGCATCACATTCTTGCGTATCAATCAGATGGCCTTTAAAAATCCATTGCCAGCTGTTAGTCTATTTTCCCCTCTTTATCAAGCCCTGAAGACAGAATAGGACTGGGTGATGCATTGTTAGCAGTGGGCTACTGCCCTAAATCTAAAACAGTGTCCAATAACAAGCAATACTTACAAGCAAGAATTACAAACATTAACAAATTGCAGATTAGTACAACATTGTTTAGAAATGTCATGAAACTTTTTTTTTTTCATGTGGTCAACTTATGATCATCACATTTGGAAAGCTGGCACAAGTCAGTAACAATGTTTAGGGGTAACACATTATAAGTAACGCAAGTTACGTAATCAGACTACTTTTTCAAGTAACTAGTAAAGTAATGATGTACTTTTAAATGTACAACAAACGTTGTGTGATCATGATGGTTACAAGCAAGCCCAGCCCAGGTCAGAAAAAGTAACGCAAAAGTAACGTAATGCATTACTTTCATTAAAGCTGCAGTCCGTAGTTGTTCCTCTTTGTCGCCATCTCTGTTTGAAATCTGCAATTGCAGTCATTCGTGGAATTATCAACTTTAAGTGAGTTGTGCCTCGGCACGGCACAGCGCGGATGAATCCAATGTTTTGAGGAGAATATGTGGCTGTCAGTCACCACGCCGGTGTCGATACTGGCATTCACAATCACAGATTTTTCTTTTTGGAAGTATGACCAACATAAGAATTTTCACCGGAAAATGTCTTCTGAACAAGTAACTAACATCCACTTTTGTTCTGACCAACTAAGGGAAAAAAAGCATTTAAAAGATTAAATCTAAAGATCGCTTTTCATATCACGTCAAACCGTCCAAATTATACTTTGTTCTCAAATTGTTAATGTTAACAACATTGCGTGACTACATTTAATGCCCTTCCGATATTTATCCTCGTTTTCGCAAGAAGTCTCTTTTTTTCTGTAGCCACTCCGAAGTCTTTTGCATTTTCATAAATGAACTACAGGGCTGACATGACCACTGCTTTCCTGGGTGACAGTATTATAAATCTGTGTGTGACTAACACTCACACACACACATAATGCACATAATCAGTGAGTTATAGATGCTAAAACAAAACCAAGTTCAAGCACTGCCCATCTCCATGAATAAATCTGATATAAATCTGTTAAGTTTTATATAATGTTGTTGTAGTGATCTATTCTAGAGCAACACTATTAAATAAAGGGTAACACTTTACCATAAGGTTCATTAGTTAACATTGGTTAACTACATTAGTTAGCTGCACTTACACAGCATTTATTCATCTTTTTTAATGTTCATTTCAACATTTACTAATACTTTATTAAAATCTTGTTAACATTAGTTAATGCACGGTGAACTAACATCTACAAACAATGAACAGCTGTATTTTTATTAACTAACGTTAACAAAGATTAACAAATACAGTAACAAATGTATTGCTCATGGTTAGTTCATGTTAGTTAATACATTAACTAATGTTAACTAATGAACCTTATTTAAAGTGTTACCAAATAAAGTTATTTTTAAAATAATTACCCAATGTGCCTAAATAGGCAAAACGACAAACCCTAGACCCAAACTGTAACCTAAGTCTATAGCCTACCTTGAAATTTGACGGTGTCTGTGTGCATCCATAAGCAGAGCTCTTCCGTGTCGCAGCCACACAGCCACGGATTCCCACTCAGCCCGAGAGACCTGAGCCCGCCGAGTGCCATGAGGGAGCTCACATTGAGTCTGCTCAGGTTGTTCCTGCTGATGTCCAGCACCTGAATCCCACTGGCGTGCGGGAAAGCCTGAGGGTGAAATTCTGACAGCCTGGGGTTATCCGTCAGTCTCAACATCACCAGGCTCTCCAGCGCTCTGAAGGTCTGCTCCTCAATCTTACCCAAGGAATTAAAGGACAGGTCCAGATATGCCAACTTCCTCAGGTTTGCAAATGTGGATTCAGATATGTGTGTGAGAGAGTTATTGCTGCAGTCCAGATACATAAGGTCTGACAGGAAATTGAGCTCAAGCGCAGGTAAATCAGAGATTCGGTTGTTGGACAGGATGAGCTGGCGGGTGGTCAGTGGGAGTCCTGTTGGGAATCTGCAGAGATCTTGTTCAGCGCACTGGACAACATGCTGGTCATCACACACACAGCGCTCTGGGCAGCCAGAAGGGATCGAGGACACCGCATGCACTAAAAGCACAAGCAATATCTGGGTTCCGATACACATGCTGTGGCTGCGAGCTTCATGAAGCCTTCACAGGTTATGGATACGCCAAAAAACCTCCACAGAGAAAACAAGACCCACTAATGTCTCCCTAGTGTATGTGAGTGAGTGAGTGAGTGAGTGAGCGATTGAGTGAGAAAGAGAGTGAGTGAGAAAGAGAGTGAGTGAGAAAGAGAGTGAGAGCTCTGTGGCTGCGCTTCTTCCTTTCATCGCTGTAGGACAGTCGTATTCCTGATGTGTCTGTATGTAATTATGTGAAGATGAAGAAAAGGAATTCAAAATAGTTTAATACACATGTGTCAAGAGTTCTTAAGCAAGTAATAATTTCATGAGTTCTTGTCACGTTTTTGGGTTTATTTTGTCATGTTTAGAGGTTGTTTTTGTCCTGCTTTTCTGTTCAGTGTATGTTTGAGTTCCTTTGTTAATCTTCTAGTCGGTTAATCAGTTCTCCTCTGTTCCGTGCCTGTTTGTCTCCTTGGTTACTAATTAATTAGGTTCCTTGTTTCAGGTGTGTCGTTAATTAGTCTCATTAGTTCCTCTTGTTTTCCTGTGTATTTGAGCCCTGTGTTTTGTCCTGTTCAGTTGTCTGTCGTCGTTAATGTTAAGCTGGTTTATCTGCCTTTTTTCTCAGTCTCCCAAGCATTTCTGTAAGTTTAAGTTTATTGTTAATAAAGTCTGCTGCACAGAAATCCTGTTTCCTCGTTGCTGCAACCAGAAACCTTACAGTTCCAGGAAAGTGATACATTTATGTAGGCTACTATACCATTTTCTACAAATGTTTTGATTTAATGAGTCCAAATAAAATATGAAGCTGTACATTTAACCATCAAGTAAAAAGCTTACATGTTGGATAAATGAGTTTTCCTGACTAGCAGGACTGGCAGGGCATTCAGCAACAACATCCACTGTCGTAGCAGGACTGACAGGATACTCTGAAACGACATCCACAGTCGTAACCGAACTGGCAAGGCATGGCCGTCATAACAGGACAGACTGGAGTTGACACAGGACTGTGTTCAGGGGTTGGAGCGGGTTCTTGACTAAACACTGGAGCGAACTCATAGACTGGGTGGGCTCTGGAGTGGATTTATGGACTGGAGAGGGCTCTGGAGCTGATTCATAGACTGGAGTGGGCTCGAGCGGATTCATGGACTGGAGCAGGCTCTGGAGTTGACTCATGTACTGGAGTGGGCTCTGGTGCAGATTCATGGACTGGAGTGGGCTCTGGAGTTGACTCATGAACTGAAGCAGGCTCTGAAGTGGGCTCTGGAGTTGACTCATGTACTTGAGCGGGCTCTGGAGCGGATTCATGGACTGGAGTGGGCTCTGGAGCTGTCTCTTGGGTTAGAGAGGGCTCTGGAGTGGATTCATTGACTGGAGTGGGCTCTGGACCGGATTCATGGACTGGAGTAGGCTCTGGAGTTGACTCATGGACTGAAGCGGGCTCTGGAGTTGACTCATGGACTGGAGCGGGCTCTGGAGCGGATTCATGGACTGGAGTGGGCTCTGGAGCTGACTCTTGGGTTAGAGAGGGCTTTGGAGCAGATTCATAGACTGGAGTGGGCTCTGGAGCTGACTCATGGACTGGAGTGGGCTCTGGAGCTGACTCATGGACTGGAGCAAGCTCTGGAGCGGATTCATGTACTGGAGTGGGCTCTGGAGTTGACTCATGGACTGAAGCGGGCTCTGGAGGTGATTCATGGACTAGAGTGGGCTCTGGAGTGGACTCTGTAGCTGGAGAGGGCTTTGGAGCGGTTTCTTCGACTGGAGTGGGCTCTAGAGTTGACTCTTGGACTGGAGAGGGCTCTGGAGTTGACTCTTGGACTGGAGCAAGCTCTGGAGCAGATTCATGTACTGGAGTAGGCTCTGGAGTCGACTCATGGACTAAAGCGGGCTCTGGAGGTGATTCATGGACTAGAGTGGGCTCTGGAGTGGACTCTGTAGCTGGAGAGGGTTCTGGAGCGGATTCTTCGACTGGAGTGGGCTCTGGAGTTGACTCATGGACTGGAGCGGATTCTTCGACTGGAGTGGGCTCTGGAGTTGTCTCATATACTGGAGTGGGCTCTGGAGTTGACTCATGGATTGGAGCGGGCTCTGGAGAGGATTATTCGACTGGAGTGGGCTCTGGACTTGACTCATGGATTGGAGCAGGCTCTGGAGCGGATTATTCGACTGGAGTGGGCTCTGGAGTTGACTCATGGACTGGAGAGGGCTCTGGAGTTAACTCATGGACTGGAGCGGGCTCTGGAGCGGTTTCTTCGACTGGAGTGGGCTCTGGAGTTGACTCATGTACTTAGGTGGGCTCTGGAGTTGACTCATGTACTGGAGTGGGCTCTGGAGTTGACTCATGGACTGGAGGGGGCTCTGGAGTTGACTCATGGACTGTAGCGGGCTCTGGAGCGGTTTCTTCGACTGGAGTGGGCTCTAGAGTTGACTCATGGACTGGAGAGGGCTCTGGAGTTGACTCATGTACTGGAGCGGGCTCTGGAGCGGATTCTTCGACTGGAGTGGGCTCTGGAGTTGACTCATGGACTGGAGAGGGCTCTGGAGTTGGGCTCTGGAGTTGACTCATGTACTGGAGTGGGCTCTGGAGTTCACTCATGGACTGGAGGGGCCTCTGGAGTTGACTCATGGACTGGAGCGGGCTCTGTTGTGGGCTCTGGAGTTGACTCATGGACTGGAGGGGGCTCTGGAGTTGACTCATGTACTTGAGTGGGCTCTGGAGTTGACTCGTGTACTGGAGTGGGCTCTGGAGTTGACTCACGTACTGGAGCAGGCTCTGGAGTTGACTCATATACTGGAGCGGGCTCTGGAGCGGATTCTTCGACTGGAGTGGGCTCTGGAGTTGACTCATGTACTGGAGCGGGCTCTGGAGTTGACTCACGTACTGGAGCAGGCTCTGGAGTTGACCCATGTACTGGAGCGGGCTCTGGAGCGTATTCTTCGACTGGAGTGGGCTCTGAAGCTGACTCTAAGACTGGAGTGGGCTCTGGAGTGGATTCATGTAATGGAGAGGGCTCTGGAGTTGACTCATGTACTGGAGCGGAATCATGGACTCGAACATGTTCTGGAGCTGGTACCGCCGCCTCGATGAGAGCCGAATCAGTGTGTGTGTGTAGTCCAAACACACAAAATGAACACTGCCATACCAGGGAGCATTGAAGATAGAGGAACAGCCTCTGAGACTGACAGCGGTGTAGGTGACAGGCTTGAGGGTTCAGGCCGATCGGCTTGTTTCTCTACACTCAGTATGGCCTGTCGAGGAGCACTAGATTCATGGGACTCACCGGCTGTATGCTGAGGGCGTCCATGACGAAGCTCTGTTGTGTGTTCCGTCTGGTTTGGTGGTCCCACAATTAACTTTGTTTCAAGAACTGCAATCCTTTGTAAAAGTCTCTGGCAGTTAGAGCAGCAAGTAGATTCCAGAAGAGGCATTTTCTCTTATCCTTTTGAATGTAGGCAGTTGTGTTTTCCCTTTCCCGGAATGTAAGCTTTCAGTGGGAGGCTGGTCGGAGAAAAGAATTCTGCTTTTTTGTAGTAATCAAGCGTTTGAGCACTGTGCTGATTTGCTGAAGTGAAAATTAGGTGATAAAAAATATAAAATATAATATAAAAGCGATAGAGCGATAAAAAATATAAAAGCGATAGAGCAAAGCGCGGAGCAGTAAGCAAGAGCGTCCGAACAGTAGCTGAGCAGGAAGTGTTTTTTATTCAGCAGGGAAACATGAGGTGAACAAAGCAACAATGGAAATGCAAAACTTAAAAATAAGAGTTCATGACAATAGACACAGGAGACACAGTCATGGATCGTACCAGATTGCTTACTTTCAATTTTGTTTATAGTATAAATATATACTGAATATGCATGCATACTGTTTATAGACGGGCTCTGGAGACATGTACGCTATAAACATGACATGTACAAATACTGATTTGTACATGTCATAACTACACATAGTACATGATAAACTGTTGTGCACTTCATGCACTCTGAGTATGGAAAATACACAAGATAGTAGTGTTTTACATTTGTAACATCCGTGTGCAGTGTACATGGCTAATTGTAAAGTTATGATGCAATTTGTTTTGTGAAAAGTTAAATATTTGAAAACAGGTTTCAAAGTGCAAGGTTTTGAAAACAATCCCATTATTGTCTCAGTGTAAACTACAAAAATGCAAATTAGTGAAAACGGTGACGTCATGTGCATGTGTATTATGCGTTCGGTCTATAAACGTGTGTTTCTTTAGTCAAGTCAAGTCAAGTCATCCTCATTTATATAGCGCTTTTAACAATGTAGATTGTTTCAAAGCAGCTTTAAAGAGATAAACATAATTTAAGGTAACAGAGATTGGTTTGGTTTTATAGCGGTTCTTGAATAATGTTATTTTCCAGCTAAAGTTAGTTTTGATTGATTCACTTCCATCGAAATGATAATTTGTTATTAAATTAGGGGCCGCTAAGTCGACACCGTTCTCTTTAAACAGACTTTAAACGCGAACCTGTGATAAATGCTGATGGCGTTCACATGCGCATTAAGAATTTATTCTATAGTTATGTCCGTTTTAATATATGTGCGCAGGTTTGTAATTCCATACAAACCATGCCTAAACAAACTACTTGTCTTGCCTATAAATTTTGATACAGAATTTTATTTTATTTTATCACTTCTGGGTTGGTACGCAAACCGAAATTTCCACAACGCTTTATCTGTAGAGTGGAATAGGGATCCTCCATAGGGAGAGGCAAGTTGGTAGCCTCGTGAGACCATCCTGATCTCGCGAGCTTTCAAGGTTTCACTCGCAGATCAGTCTGGATACTTTCCGTTAAAGAAAATTTGGGAGCAGTTCACCAAACGAACGTCCAATCAGCGTTGGCTTTGAGGCGGGTTGAGGTGTGACGCAACGAGAAGCGCGTCAGTTCAGTCTAAAGAACATGTCGGCTTCAGCGGATGAAACTAGCATCAGCGTGGCTATCGAGCAAGTTTTATCGGAATTACAGAGTATTTCTTCACTGAAAGAAGAGCAAAACACTGCTCTGGAGGCTTTT